TATCAGTACTAGTAAGGCACGTAGATGTCTATTTTCATATTTACAGAATTATGCATAAAGACATGGGCGGAGCACTCGTAGCAGCATCAGAAATGATGTCTACCTTCCAAGATACATTTAAAAAAAAATCCGAACCGGAAAGAGATGGCCTGAGCACTAGCTGCAGCACCAGCAATACTATCAGTACTAGTAAGGCACGTACTGTAGTGGCAGTATTGGTAGTTGTGCTACTACTAGTACTGGTAGCCGTAGTCGTAGTAGTTATTGTAGTTGTAGTAGTAGTAGTAGTAGCAGCAGCAGCAGCAGCAGTCGTCGTCTTGGTTGTGGTGACGGTGGCGGTAGTGGCAGAGGGCGTGGTTGCTGTTGCTGCTGCTACTACGTGTAGTATGTAGTCGAAGACACCGGCACACTGCCAGACTAGACTTGCAAGAACAAACGCAAAACACTGGCAAAATGAAACTATTAAATAGACTGGGAGAGGACCTGCAACCACATTCATCATCGCCACAACCACCCCAGCACCAGCACCACCAGCCATCATCATCACCATCCCAATCATGATGATGACAAAACCATCCTCTAAATGATGCCATCAGAAAACCGGCCGTGGCAGACCAAGCAGCTGGGGCGATCGTCCGAGATTGGAGCTGGAGGCCTATGATGCTCTGCAGGAATTCGAAAAGAAAACCGCAACCATGAGAATGAAGAACAACCAGCTGTGTGATGACGTCAGTGCTGATAACAGTAGCCAAACTGTCTGTGCCCGTCCATGCAGCCAGAATCATGCTAAAGTGCCGATCATTCGCAGTAGGTCAGAAGGACTCACTTAGAGTTTCCTGTGCATATAGCCTCTGTCCTTTTCGGCAAGTGGAGTTCACATGAGTTAACATGAGACCTTCGGTACTCCAACGGCTGCTGGGCTTGCCACATTCGCGCTCCTGAAATCAATCTTTCCAGGGACATTACCTGCAGTCTTTTAACGCTGCGGTTTGCCCAGAAGCCTGTGTTCCCATGATGCAGGAAGCCACACCGGCTCGCAGTCAAGCGTCCGGACCTCTCCTTCCCTCTGCAACTTACTGCAACCTCCCCGCAACTGCCAAGCCCCGCCTCCGGCAGAAGGCTGGAGCGAGCCTGATACACACGCGACGAATCGACCCAATCGAGATGGAATGTTCTCTGCTCCCTCATCCCACAATTCAGCGATATCTGCAGCATCGCATATTTAGGGAGATGCTGTGAACCTATCCAAACCAGAATCCGGTATGGCCAGAAACGCACCATGCGACTGGCCTTGCCTGTGGAGGCGCGACACGGGCGGCCGCAAAGACGAAGAGCGAAGTGACGAGAACAAGCTGCATTGTAGCCTAGCGTGGGGAAGCTACAAGCAATGACAGCGTGGAAGCCAAGATCCTGAACTTTAAAGCAGCACGGCCTGGCAACGCATGCAGGCACCATGCATGACTGCAATTTGAGCAGCGCTCGCGGACTTGAGCCCTCTACCTGAAATATGCAACTAAAACAAAAGAAGCAGAGGAAGAAGGTCGCAACAGCAACGGCAGGCAACAAACACGATCACAGCCTCTGCAACCACTGCCCACCACCACAACAGAAAAAAAATGGAACAAACACACCAAGATCACACCCGAACGACGACGAAATTGTGCTATGATAATGAGACGCTATCCAAAATCAGTCCCTCTGCTTCTCTGCCCGCGAACCAGGCCGCAACCTATTAATCGTGTTTGGCACACCCGAACTGCCAAGTCTTCGCCGGGAAGCTAGGTGGAGGAGAGCAACCAGCTGCCAGCAAAGGAAGCAAGAGTGCGTCTCCGCAGAATCGGCGAAAAGCCGAAACGGCTGCCGGGTTTGCAGGTCAGGGCTGAGCCTGCAGTTCTGGAGACCCTGGTCAAGGCTTTACTGTAAACTTCATGTAAAACTGCCCTCTTGGCCTGCTGCGTAGCTATCATTTTAGGGTGCTGCGCTGGGTTGCCATGCGACGAATAAGTGTAAATCAAGACTTTGGAGCATGAGCGCAAACAGAGGCGACCCTTTTGATCGAAGCCGCATGAGACTGCAGAGGAGCATCAGCGGAGCTGCAGATACGCGCTGGAAGTGCCCTGCAAGTCAGCACCAGGGAAGTCCAGCTTACTACCGATGTCCACGTCCACCGTGACGTGTCTGAGCATCAGAGGTGTCCCAGATAAGCATCGGAGCGTGCCACTAGCGGCCCGCCCGCGACCTGACGGGACGGAGTCGTGGCCGTGGTCGTGGTAGTATGTATGTAGTGCGCAGTGGATAGCGGTGGATAGCAGTGGTGGCAATAGCAGAGTAGCACCAACAGTAATTACATTCTTTAGGCGCATTGGTGTTCGCGTAGCTGCAGGTGGATGCATACATACAACTTGTGACGTGCCGAGCGATGTGATCGTCTGAAAGTCGTACCCATGAACCTCGACGCCATGGATCGTCAGGCCGTCAGATTCCATCACGCGCTCGGAAGCGAAAGGTGCTCGGTTGAACGCCCCTCGCCCTTGCCGAAGCTGGCGCAATGAACCTGCCCGAATTGTGAAGCTGATCAAAAGATTGGCCCCAACACCAAAAAATATATCTTATGAAGGGCCGTCAAAGAGAAAGCACATGCTCTGGGATATCCGTTTAAGGTTCACGACGGCATCCACAAGTCACATCTCAGAGAAACAAACAACTAGTGCGCCTGAAGCCCACATACCTATAATAGCCCCGAAAGATTTCTTGTAAAGACTGCGAGTTCGTTTATCTTGCGCTCTTTGCGAAATAAGGGAGGTCTTGGAAAATCCCGATTGCCCCTCTCGCCACCCACATGTCCTGCGTCTTGATGGTCCCACAGCCCTTTCAAACTCCTTAAGCCCTGTCATCCATGAAACCCCTTCCAACCCGTCCAGCCCTGAAGTGCGAACTCGCCCTGGACCAAATCCTCGCCCTAAACTATTATACCCAAAGAGCTCCTAAGGCCCTAAGCTCCCAAATCGTAAGCCCTCAAACCTGAACTCCTGCGGCCCAAGCTTTTCGACCCTCCTAAAAACCCGAAGCTCCCGAAGCCTTAAGCTCCAAGCTCCTAAATCCCTAAGCCCTCTTTTTTCTCCGAGGCCGCGTGCGGGTTAGACTGGGCGGCGCAGGAACCTCCAGGAGCCCACGGCGAAGGTGGGAAGAGGAGATTTCATTGAAACAACATGAAACTGATGATGATAGGATGATGCTGATCATCGAAACACACACAGAGAGAGAGAGAGAGAGAGAGAGAGAGAGAGAGAGAGATATATATATATATATATATATACATATAGATAGATGGATAGATAGATAGATAGATACATAGATAGATAGTCAGAGTAAAATGTTCAGAGTAGCAAACATGCAGCTACATCTGGCTGCGCTTAATGTACTGACAGGTCTGCATTTTGCCCTCATACTGACCCAGACACCTCACTCACGATCAACCCAACCCATGAGTTCGAACGAAGCCGTCCCGCGCTACGAGAATGCCCGGGGCCAGGCGCAACACTTTGAGGCTGACAGGCCAGAAAAACAAAAACGTGGCGTTGGTGGCGCCAGAAAGTGCTATCCGGAGCCCTTTAAGAACCCGAGCGCCAGTTTAGCCGATCTTGGAACCTTGTTCCGACATATCAAAAACCACGGCCCAGGAAGAATCCCAAGAAGAACCCAACGAAAGTCCTCAATCTCCGAGGCACGAGCCCCTAAAAAAACCCAAGCTGTAGGGACTACGTTGCCCTCGAATTCTGCAGAACTTGGCTTCCGCACGTTTCGGCCGCTTCCCGGGTCGTCCAGGAATCTCGGATGCCAAGAAGGCTATGAATCTTGCAAGCCAAAGCAGCTCGCACACAGTGATATCGTGATATCCCTATCTGCCCATCCCGAAGCAGGCTCCCTGGAAAACCTCATGCTCCTCGAAAGAAGGATGAATATTCGTGCCAAGCCGCTCGAACTTCTATGGCGAGACCTTGGAACGGGAGACCCAACAGGTGCCATCGCGCGAAGTAGAGGAGGGCGACTGGGGCCCTCACCGTCCTCCGACAAGCGGGTGGCGAAGGACTGCTGCCTCCACTGTGAGCTGATCCCCTCGCCGGTGCGCAGGTCGAAGCAAACCTGGTAGGAATCCACAGACCGATGGGGTCGCGGACCGGTTCTGCTCACATTTATATACAGAGTAGATACTGGTTTTGTTCGTTGAAATTAAAGAATGGTCCATATATACGCCTAATAATAGTATGGTGATGGTTACTGTACCAATACGACCTTCTGCATTCTGGACTCGTGGGATCAGGGCTGCTTGCATGGGGTGGGGAAGGCCGGGCAGGCTTCGGCACTGCAGAGCCGTTCTCTGTTTGCCGGTTTGGAAGTTTTTTTTCTGACGCAGAAGCTCAAGAAAAGAGACGAGAGGACCGATCCAAGCCCTAGCTCAGCACCCCGCTTCAACATGGCATTCATCCTCTCCGGACCGACCCACTTCCTAACCCTGTGCTTCGGCTAGAAAGTTTACCGGGCGGTTGCCATCACATTTCCCCAGGGCAGAGAGCCTATGACCCATGAGTTCAGACTGCAGTGCTGGTTCATACCTTAATGCAGGATCGAAGCCCCATGACCCGGACAGCGAACAGCTGGTGCGTGCTGGCACCCCTTTGCCAGGTCCTCTGCGAGTTTATCGATTGTCGATTTACTAGCCAATTGTAACTCTTTGGTGGTGGCTTGACGTTGTTACAAATGCCTTCAATGAGAATTCGAGAGCAAGCAAAAAAGATCTGGCACCGTATATTCTCCCTCACACACGCGAAGGGCTGCGAGAATATAAACCAAGCCTCCGAACACCTCCTGCCTCTGTAGGCCCTTCCCGTTTTCAAGGTCACAACAGGAATCCTCATGCCCATTGGCCATGGCCATACCGATGGCCCTCAAACACAGGGATTCACGAAGCTGGGGACCACCTCACAACGCTCACAGCTCGGCTACAAAGGCTGGTCCTCCATGTCCTGTACCTCACCCGAGGCAAGGGAGGCACCCATGTGACTGCAGCGGTTCCTGGGATCGAGCACCCCAGCTTTGGAGAAAGAGAGTCGAGTGTTTTTTGTTGGAATTTCTAAGGGTGTTCGGCATTTTGGGACTGTAACACGCTGGGTTCTGTGCTCTTCATAGGGAATAGCAGATTACACGAACGGTCACTGGCAGCAGGGTTCAGGTCTGAGGCTTCAACTCTGGCTTGAGCGCTTCACACTCGGATTAGCCAGATGTCGCAGTCGGAATTGTTCCCCCTGCTTGACACTTGTGTCTTGGAGCGCTTCGCCCGGGCTGGCCACAGATGTCCCTAGCCCCCAAACCCTGAACACTCAAGGCCCCAGCAGCCAGAGTGACAATCGCGAAGTCTGGAGTTTCGAATCTTCAGAGGAAAACACCTCCCCAACTGCAGATCCGAGGCTCTGCAATGCAAAGAATTCCCCTTTGGAGCGGAACAGCGCGATCTCAATCTCATGTCCATCTGGATGCCTCGGGCAGACTTCCGTGAGAACCTAAACACAAAGCAAAACTGTTGCATGATGATCTACCAGACGATTAAACCACCTACTTGTAAGAAGAACCCTACCCTACAGACTGTCGACCTCAATCCAGGGACCTTCCGTCAGGCCTGTCAACTCTGCCGTAAGAAGAACTCAGGTAGCATGATGCATGACGATGGGGCCGTTCGTTCCTTGATGGCTTTTGGGTTCAGGAGTTCTTCCCGAGTGCATCTAAGATGCAGTGGGCTGACGGCGCAGCCTTTCCCCTCTTGCAGCTCATCGGCTGCACAAACACGGAGCCAGGAAAACTCGGCTTCGCTTTCCTCGGGCCCTTCACTGTGGGAATCGTCTGCTCCACTCTCAGACGAACCCCTCATCTGAAACTTAAGGTGCTCGGGTATAAGCTCTTCGTAGTCTTCGTCATGTGTGTAGCTCAGGCAGATGGTATCCGCAGGACCGTTGTTCCAGCGTGCCACATCGTACTTCTGCTTGTACTCTGCAGTCCGGCGGAAAGCGAGGCTCTTTGTCCAGATTATCCTGAGCTGCGTCGAAACCGGACATGCAACTTCGAACCGCCGCCGAAAACACAATGTGGCAATGGATCTAATCATCTAATCCAAACTTTTGCCGGCATATACAAACGTCGAGTGGAACCTTATCAATTAACACAGAACTCCTTGAAAAGGAAACTACGATGTTGAAAGTAGAAATTCTTCACGCCAAACAAGCTGCAGAGATGCACGCTCACCACTTTCAATGTCCAGGGCCCCATGTCGGTGCTTTCCGCAGTGCATAACACACTGGCCCTTGACCTCGTCTGTGGTTATTGTTCCATGAGCGAAGCAACAAGTTTCTTGTGCACCTGCGTGATCATGTGCCTAAACAGCCCAATGAAGACCACAGTAGCAGCTCAGTAGCACCATGCCGATGCTAAGTGAAACACATCCAAGTAACATGCTGGTAGGTGAACCTGTGCTTCCGGTGGTCATCGTCGTAAAACAGCCCACAGAACCTAAGACGACCAGCTGCATTCTCACATGGTCTCCTGGCTAGCTGCACCCGGCAACATAAACCCGTCGGGACTGCTGGAAAGCGAGATTGCCTGAAACGGCAGCACATATTTTCGAAAGCTGCGAGCGTTGCTCGCTCCGTCCAAGCTGTCCCAGCTTCTGTATTTAATATCCCCCAGAGGTAGAAGCTAAGAATTTCCGGCAAGCCTGGCCCTCTTTGCTGCCAAGGATCGCCAGCTCACTGCCCGTGATGTTTTCAGCAGAGAGCCCAAAGTTGAAGGTCACGTCGCATTCGTCGATGTGCATGTCCAAGTGCTTGTCATTGTTCGGCCTCAGGTCGATTTGACAGCTCCTATCCAGAAGGGGTGCTGCATCAACAAGCTGCAGTGACGTCGGGGTCCTGCCGGATTGTTCTTGGGCCAACCTGGTGCAACAAATCCCTCCTCCCCTCGGTAGGCACCAGAGTCACCAGAGTCCCTCAGCGCTTCGAGATTTCTCTCGAGTTTCCGAACTCAGGATCTGACGAATCCTGAAATACACAACAAAAGGCTCTAGGACTCTGGGAAGGTCAAGAGTTCAGAGCCTCTCGAAAGAAGAAGACTGATTGACTGCGTGGAACGTTACATGTCAACAGGGGCGAGGGCTAAAGAAACTAAGCAACACAAAAGAGCGCACTTCTAGGAAGGTTTGGGCCTGCTTGCCAACAACCATATTTCTTGCAAGCGTTTGAACGACGGGTTCGCACCAATGCTCGCGTAAGCCATGTCAGCCAAATTGTCAGAGACCCATTCCTAAGTCTGAAGCAGCTAATGAGTAAAGATGCTTTCACACATCTGCCCGACCTGCTTTTTGTCTCTTACTCTGATAATTGCCTCTGACAGCCTGCGGAAGTCCAATCGAGCGACGCATACTGTACCACAAACGTGTGGTGCTCGTCCAGGACAGAACCTCCCCAGTTCTCCTTGGTGGTCAAGTCGTCTTGTTTGGAGGGCTTCGAGCTCTGAACTACCAGTCAGCCTCAAGCATCCAGCAGCTGTGCCGCGAGTTGCATTGCGCAAACCACAAGTACAAGGTCAGGGAGTGGAGAAAACCAGCATCGCCATTCGACAGTTACTCAGCAACACATCCCAAACCTTGTCCCACAGTTCCTGCACTTTGAACTCTACAAGCAAGTGGAAGCGCTTCGGGCACTACAAGCAAAGCTTCGATCTCATTTCCAAGTCTCGGTGCAGAGCTTCTCGCCCTTCAGCTCGTCGAGCCTGTCCTCCTCTGCATCGCGAACCCGAACCCTGCTGAAGGAGCTGGAGTCTGGGTATGTCTGGGTCTTTGATTCGGAGCACCAGATGCAAGGAAGGATTTCAGCTTCGTACCCGAAACCCTGAACCCTACACAGTTTAGAAGAGCTTAGAAGGCATCGCGTTCTCTGCGAGACCCCACATGGAGAATGAAGAGGCCTCGGAGCCGAAGATGCGAGCCCCGAATGGCAGCAGCACGTGCTCAAGGATGCTGCCTTAGCTGACATTATGGCCACGAGGTCACTAGGCATTCATGATCCTCTTCAAGATGGCCCGTTCATGCACCCATGTGTGTATACCTTTACATACATCGACATACATACACGGCAGACATACAGACATACATACATACATACATACATACGTATGTACGCACGAAGCATGCACCCACCTACATACGTAGGCGCGTGCGTACATGCAGGCATGCAGGCATGCATACACACATAGACACACAGACACATAAAACAAACAACTAACGAAACTGCACAGTTCAGTCGTGCACGAATAACGCGGCTGCAGACAAACCCAAAATCCTCTTTTCAAACGCCACGCACTGCTTGCTACTCGTTTTCCAACTTGTGTAAATGGTATGACTTCTCATGGGCCCGGGCCGGATGCTCCTCAATTTGGCAAATACCGGGTGAACGCCGAAGAAACTGAAAACTCATAAACGACAGCGATTAGCCGAAAAGAGCAGCGACGTGGCAGTCTTCGAGCCTGTATTTTGAAATGGCTTGCTGGCAAAAAGCGAACTTCAGCTAACCGCTACTCCGCTTTCAACGAAAGACAGAAAGACCGGCGAGAATCGGGATCATGGCGTGCCTGATTACAGACTTTCCAAGCTTGCAAGTTTCGAAAGCTCCACTGAACTGCCACAGGTACTGAACACGGGCTTGAGGCCGATGTCGTTTAAGACCAGGCCATAGTTATTCCTCAGCGTGGCGATGCGACTATGCAGCTGTTCCGACAGGATCCTGAGGGTTCCATGTTTCCATTGCACAGACGCGCAAGGAAAAGAAAGAGCCAAATGCCTCTCAGAATGTCAAAGACTGGGCATCTTGACCCGGAACCACCAAAGCAAACAGGGTGCATGGTGTTGGGCGGCCGGCCTGGCATTCCCAGGTCCTGGGAAGTTTGATTTGTAACATACTGAATCGGCACCGCTGTTGTGGGACAAAGCAACTCCGGTCACCAGCAAGGACACGGACCACCAAGCCCGGTTCGGCCAACAAACCGAGCTGCCTGCAACTGAAAGGCCTAGCCGCCTAGCCGTAAGCTTAACTTACACCCCTAGGCCCAAATCCTTACATCAAAGGCCCTAAACCATCGGACCAAAGCTGGTTGAAGCCCTTAGCCAGCAGTCTCCTGGTAATGATGCACCTCTTCGAGGACCTCGGTTCCACAGCAACCAGGGCTCGCTCCAGGCTTCATTCAGCACCGGGGATGTGGCATCGCGACACGCTTGTGTGCAGCGCAGCCCCAAGCCATGCTTTTGCATCGGCAATGAGCTCTTCGTTAGGCCCAAGAAAGGCTGAAGGCATGAAACACTGCAACACCAGGAGATCCAAAATCCCAAAAGCCCGACCCGAAACTATGCCTAGTCCTCGCACCTGGGCACTCTGAGCCTTGAGACTCGAATTTCTTTGACCCAAAGCCTCCAGGCCGAGCAACCAGATCGCAAAACTCGTGCGTGAAGAAAGGGAAGCTCACCACACCCGGGGCGCGGACCTGCTTTAGGGCTTTTTTTCTCGTAAATTCAAGGCTTAGGGTTTGGACTCTGCAAACTCGGACATGCAGGCGAGGTGCTTCGGTTCGATTGGGTTTCTTGGGTTTAAGATCTAATTACCCTCTCACAACTTGGACTTGCCAGATGAGTCGAGGTTTACTGTTGAGGGCTTAGGTATGCGAAGGCATCCACTTCCTGACCAAGCTTGCCCCGGACAGTCGAAGCCAAACCCACTTCACGGCATCTTCTGAGTTTCCGTGCAACCTTAAGTCTAGAAACCTTCTACTAGCCTCTCATAAGGGTGCTATAAGGGCCGCTATAAAAGGGTGTGGGTGTATGATTGGGCTCTACCCTGCCATCTATATGGGGGGTTCTGAAAATAGGTGACCCTAATATAGCTAAGGACCCCAAAATAAGGTACCCTAATTTTCGGAAAGTCCCATATTCTCGCGACCCCGGTGGGCTGGCCTGGAGACCCGGCAGCGCGCTGAGGTCCTTGGAAGTTCTCAGCTCCACTGCTTCGAGGCAGCTCGGCTAGTATGGGGGCCCTTCAAGATTAGACTAGGACTCCTTTAAGCCTGAAGGGTTCCATCGCGGTTTCTACAAGAGATTAAGAGTCTAGTGGCTATAAGGGCCTTAACATGTTAGAATTGGGCTTGAGGGGTAGAGCAGAAACTAAAATTATGGAGGGACCCACAAGGCGATACGACCAGCAATCATTCCGACTCCTGTGTTGCACCGTCCCAAGAACGTTCCGAAGGGGATGTGCTTTGGGGTTCCTCGGGACGACATGCTCTCCACTCTACCCTTTTTGACTTGCAGGAGGAGACGAGCATTCTGCGAAACAGTCTGCAAAAAAATCAGAAGAAGAGAAAGCCTGAAACCCTGAGGCCCTTTTGCCCAAAACCCCAAACTGATCTCCGAAACCCGAAACCCTATGCCCTGCACGCTAAGGAAGGCAAGGCTCCACCTGGCCAAGTCCAGCTCGGGGCTCCCCAGCCTCGTGCCACCTCCGCGACTCTCTCGGTCTCTTTGCTCTGAAGGCCCCAAAATATCCTAAAGTCCTAAGAAGATCTCAACACCCTAGAGCTTATATCCCAAAAAACTCGGTAGAAACACCCTGAAACTTCCAGAAACCCATGAAACCTATGTGCCAAAACCCTCACCCTTCCTCTCTCACTCACCACAACGATGTTGAGACCCACAAACGCTGCAGACCTGAGATCCAGGGAGGGGCAGGACCTTACAGACTGTAACCCGGTAACCCTAAATGCCCAAGCCCGCCCAACAACAGCTCAGCTGGCCTGGATAGGCAGGACAGCACGCAGGGATCGATCCAGCGTCGCCAGAGCTGAGGATCCTTGGCTTCTTGGGACAGGGGTCTGCTTTCGAGTCCTTTCGAGTCTTCTTTGATGGTTTGATCCGATGTCTGGTAACGAAGCCTTCGGCGCGCCCGAGCGATCATGCAGTCGCTGGCGTGAACTTCGAAAGCCAATGACCCCCTGAAACGACCTTGCTTCCTGCCTGGGCTCGAACAGCTCCTTGTGGAGGGACTTCTGCGGGTGGTACCTGGATTCCACATGCGAGCTTTGGTCGCCTTGAATCTTGATTGCAGCACGCCATGGCTTTGGCTTGGGTTTGGGCGAATGAAGACCGGATAGCCAGGCGACAAGCCGGCATATAAATATAGTGTTGGCTCCACTCAACCCCTTCGACACTCACCGGAGTCACTTCACGCAGTCGTTGTAGCTTGTAGAGAAGGCCCCCAAACGCCGTGGGACACTCACACATTCACTTAAAGAGCATCACTCCTACAGGAAAGTAGGTCAGCCCCAATCAACTACACCGGCATAAGCGAAGCCAGGGCTCGGAATGCGGCGCGGGCCACCGCCACTGAGGGTGATCAGAAAGTTGCGGAAGTCATCGTCGCCGAGCTCTCCTGATGCGAAAGCTGCACTCACGAATGGGTTCCGGTAGTCCGTTAGCTTCCCAGCCGCGGGCTAAACCCTGCGAGGCTGGTCTTGGAAGCCTGTCAGCAGCTCCCGGCTCCCCAACAAAAGCAACACCCCTGCCTCGCAGCTCCGCGAAAAACTGGTCAAAGTCCGCCTTCTTGTCCTGCGGATCTCTTCTATGCTTGGGACACTTGGGACAGAGCACTTAAACCAGAATCCCTGACACGGCGTGACTTGATTCAAGCGTCGGCCTCGCATATCAGATGTGTCGCTTAAGCGACTTCTGAAGACAACAGCTTGCGAAACCCGGGTAAGGACATCCCACATGCTAACGCAGTTGCAGCTGCAGTGTCGTGTCTCCTTGGGCGTCTTTGTCACGGGGACGTCCGCATCTTTCTCAGTCTCTGCCATGGCACAACACGCCGGCAGGAAACTGCACAACTATGCAGAACTGGTCTGCAAGCCTACAAGCGATGCTTCTACAAGCATAACCAGTGCCTCGTTTGCCGGGCCGAACATTAGGAAAATGCTGCGGCTCGTGGACGCTTCTTCGCTTTAGTAATCGGCTCGGATCTTGCAAAGTGTACACCCTGCAAGGCATCAGGCTTTGGAGCATCGATGGGTCTTTAACCAACTTTAATCAAAATCAAGCGAACAACATAGTGTGGAACATCTGGAACTTTGAACCTCGGTGCATCGGCCGGCAGCAGCTGTGCTCAACAAAGATCTGAACGCATTGCAGGAATCGACACTGCAGAATCATCTCACAGCATCTGGCAGCAGATGTGCCTGCAGAGCCACGCAGAGAAGCGCCGCAGGCAAGCACAAAGGCCAAGCAAGCAGGACCTCGGCGTTCGGCTGACCAGTTCGTAGTGACTCAGCCGGGCTTTGCCCATAGCACACGACACAAGACTGTGGATCGGAAAACTCGGCATGGATGTTGGCAGCTGTCCTGGAACTCTGCCAATAGAGGGTCACCCTCCCCCTGAATTTCTCGGATTCTTTCCTCTGGGGCTGTTGCCCCGGCAGCACTGGTGGAGGCTCAGGACGAAGATGCCGCAGCTCCTGAAACGTGGCTTGCATTCCCGAAGCTTGGGCTGATAGGGGGGCTTCTACTACTCCCAACCCCACCGTGCCATGTGCTGCTTTAGACGGTCTTTTGGCACCTGCGGCTCTAGGCCTGCATCAGCCAGACATCAATGACAGGAGAACCTTCCTTCGGAAAGCCTTGCCTGCTACCCTTGGCTCGTACTTTTTGGCCAGAAAGGTTAAATCGCACTTGCGAAGCCAGGACATGCTGTCCGACAGTTCAACGCAGTGCTGTCGCCATGAACGAGACACGACTCCTCCGTCACTCCCTGCCCACGCATCTATGGATGCTCGCTGAAGTCAACGCTTCTTCCCTGAGCCTGCGCTGCCGGTGGGGTCGTATCTTTGTGCTGCCACCTACCCTCGTCGCCTGAAGCTTTGTCCTGACCCTCTGACGGCTCGGATGGCCCGCTTGCGGGGTCCAGGTTGTCCACTTGCCCAATCACGCACAAAATAGTTTGGCGTCTATGCTGCTGAGCTCACGAAGCGGGCTTTTGGTCAGCAATCGATGCGATTCAACATCCAGTGTCGCAAGTCCAAACATACAGAACAACTGTTGAAAAAAGAGCATGGACGCCGCACGCCTTTGAAACGTTCGATGAACTGGCACTTATACCCAGGCAATGGCCTTCACTGAAGTATGGCAGTCAGTCGAGGCTGTTGTTCGGGTGGGATCCAGCCAGTATCAAAAACTTCGCCGAAAGGCCCTCAGCCCTAAATTGCCCCTGTGCGGTCACACTCACTGAGACAAAGCCATCCAATCTGTGATCAAGATATCCATTCCGAAACACATGCAGCTGCTGACACAACACAATGGCCGCTGTGGTGCTCTTGCATGGGATTCTCCGTCCTCGACCTCCATGCCTTCATACCTTTTCTGCCAACGCACCCTCTTCGTGACCCGAGCATCCCTTAGAATCACGCTTCTGGTAACACTTTTAGCTTTAGCACTTTAGCAACCTTTCTGATAACCCTGATAGTAACCCTGATCATCAGCTTGGACTCTTTTACGAAGCGCCGAATCCTCCCTAAACCTAAACCAGAAGACGCTTAACCCCAAACCCTCCCCCCCCTTCGCTCCACAGAGCAGAGCTCCGGAAAGTTCGCAAAGCGCAACCTGAGACTTCCTGCCCAGCAAGTGGGGTGCTGCGGTGTGGGACCAGCC